GTGTTCCACCAGTTCCGCGCTGTGTTCCACCAGTTCCGCGCTGTGTTATCTGACTCCAGCATCAGCAGTTCTTACGATTTCTAGGTGCTGGTGGAGAGTTGCTTTTCAGACTGGAGGCCTGTGACCAGTGGTGTGCCACAAGAATCAAAGCAGATTGACTGCTATTTGTCATTTATATAATTGGTTTGAATGTGAACAAAGGAGGTATAGTTAATAATTTGCAGACAACACCAAAATTGGTGGTGTACTGGGTGGCAAAGGAGGTTAGCTGAGAGTACGATGGGACTTTGATCAGATGGGCTGAGGAGGGGCAGATGCTTTAGTTAAATGTGAGATATTGCATTTTGGAAGGCAAATCAGAGCAGGATGTATACACTAATGGTAAGGTCCTTGGGAGTGTTGCTGAACAAAGGGACCTTGGAGTGCAGTTTCATAGTTCCTTGAAATTGGGAGTCACAGATAGACAGGATTGTGAAGACGTCAGTGAAGACGTCATTTGGTATGCCTGCCTTTATTGGTCAGCGCATTGAGTACAGGAGTGTACTGGAATGTCAGAGGCTGAGGGATTATCTTACAGAAGTTTATAAAATCATGAATGGCATGATTAGGGTGATTTGCAAAGATCTTTTTCCCCAGGTAGAGGAGTCCAAAACTGGAGGATGCATGTTTAAGGTAAGAGGAGAAAGATTTAAAAGAGACCGAAGGGTCAAAGTTTCAGACGCAGGGTGGTGCATATATCGAATGAGCTGCCAGAGGAAGTGGTGGAGGCTGGTATAGTTACAACATTTAATAGACATCTGGATGAGTATTTGAATAGTAAGGGTTTAGAGGGATATGGGCCAAATGGGACTAGATTAATTTAGGGTACCTGGTTGTAATGGACAAGTTGGACTGAAGGGTCTGTTTCTGTGCTGTACAGCTGTATGACTCCATGACATAAAGAGGTAGCATGAAACCCAGGTTGTGTTGTTCCCAGGCTGGAACTGGAGATGTGTACTTGTGCTTGTCTGGTCTGATCTGATCTGGAGTGGAGGTGTGCACCAATGCAGGTCTGGAGTTGAGGTGTGCACCTGTACTGGGCCTGGGCTGGAACAGGATGTGGACCAGAATGTAGGTGTGGTGGAGGTCTGTAATACACCAGTTGCTGCTGTGAAAATGTGAGTCTCTGTATTGGAGACTGTTTATTGCTAAAAAGGCAATGAATGAACCATGTAGTTATTATGAGTTTTATTCTCTAACCAAGTATTTTTAGGAAATAAACTCAAACCAAACTTATTTAGTTCAACCAATATTCTAAAATTAATTTGACTACGCACCTCTGTTGCTTATTCAAATTTGTAACTTATAGTTATAGTATGATGTATTATTTATATATTTATCTATAATATGTAAGCTTTAGTAATTGTGTGCTTAATCTCACCATGCTATCTTAGAGGTTTTGTTTTTGCTGGCACTGAGATCAGATTAACTTTTAAGTCCTTTTTGATGTTTTAGTTCATGGGCTCTGGGCATCCCTGGCAAGGCCAGCTTTTGTTTCCCATCCCTAATTGCTCTTGAGAAGGTATTGGTGAGTTAAAATAGGGTCATACGGAAAAAAAAAACTTGCCAAACATTGCCATGTTAACCACAATAAAAGACAAAGTGAAAACTAATGGTTCTACCCACACTTCGTCTAATAATTACACCTGCACGAAGTGGCTTAATTCCATTTGCATTAACTACAGAGCACCTCAAGTGCTGTAATTTCACAATTCCTTATCGTTTAAAAAAAGAATTGGACCTTTTCGCCTTCAGCCACTCGCACTCCTGCTTCTAACTGATCTAAAGTTATTAGGAAATAAGTGTTGATTTTTGAATGAAATTATCAATTTTGAGTTTGTTATCAGGTGTCACATGAAATTGGGTTAAAATGAGCCAAATTCATTCCATTTAGAAGCTTGTCCAGTGAAAAGATGTGTGTCTTGTTGACCTGGAATTGTTCAGTCTCACGATCATTTCTTCAGAATCCTCAAATGACGTTACCCAGCTATGGTCTCACTTTACCCCTGCATCCTGTTCGTTGTTTGGTATTTGCACTCCTTAAGTCACCAATTGCGTCCTTTGTCTCTGATTGTGGTGGTCTGTCATTTCTCAACCTCCTCCATGACTGGATAAGGATATAAAGATGTTTAATCACTGTTCTTCTCCGTAGCAGTGAATCTCAACATGAGCAGTGATAAAGATGTTAGAATTGACTTGGTGCTATATGAAGGAAAAGAAAATATTCACTTGATTCCTGTTCGTCATCATTATCTATTTTCCCTGTTATAAATGCTTATTTGAATGTTTGTTGAGAGCAGTGTCAGACTTGCTGATCCTCATGTAACCATTGTCTGGGTTCACATATCAGTGATGATCACTTTGCTTAGGACTGGATGATGGAGGCTGCTCAGCATGTGTGTAATCATATCCCAGCAAGGAATTCTCGAGAGAAGAAAACTCAAAAAATGAAAGGAAAAGTAAAAGTAACTTCAGGTCACTTATTTGAACAAGCCAGTTGGCATTTGTTCTCTGATTTCCAAGGAAAGTCTTGGAGAACAGAAAATCTAATCCTATGTCATTGTCAGTCTTCATCTGCTGCTATTTTTATGTTATCTGGTTTGTCTTGTACACATTTATTTTCAGGATGTGATTTGTATTTCTTTTCTCCAGTGAGGAAGTGTGTAAGCGAGGGTTCACTGTGATAGTTGACATGCGTGGATCCAAGTGGGACTCCATTAAACCGCTGCTGAAGATTCTACAGGAATCGTTTCCTGGCTGTATTCATGTTGCACTGATCATCAAGCCAGACAATTTCTGGCAGAAGCAAAGGACTAACTTTGGCAGTTCTAAATTCGAATTTGAGGTATTTTCAAATATAAATATTAGACTAATTATGAAAAGAATCTTTGACTTGTTGCTCTGCTTCTAAAATAACTATTTTGCCCACACCATTTAAATGTGGTTTCTTCCACATACTAAGCTTGAAAAGCTAGTTTTAGGTTTCAGTCATGCTGAAAAGGACAAAATAATTTTGATTATGAGAGAAAATGACAGAGTTTCTAAATATATTTTGTGCGAACATATCCATTAATCTCATACCGTGATATAACTCTTTGACCTAGGTAAACAAAGCTTAGGAGAAGTTTAAAAACTTTTTGTTCCATGAGTTGTTGAGACAATGCTAGTGTGCTGGAGGACTAATTAATGAACTTCCTCTGATGAATGATGTTGCTTTATACTCTGTTTGATTATAACATTTTACTCAAAAAGACTCGGACTCAGTCCTCAGGACACATGCTTCTCAGTTGAGCGTGATAATGTAAAATTATGTTCAGTTCATTGTGCTCCCCACTGGAATGTAACAGTTAATTTTGTATTAGCTGGTTTTACACAACTCTTTTTAGTCAATAGATGCTGCAGGGCAGGCCTCCCATGGCTCGTAGCTGTAACGCTGAAGTAAACCTGTTATTTTCAAGACTAATAGCAAAGGAGAAGTGTTTGTCGCTTGAATGTGCTCACTGCAAAGTCTCTTTGAGGCTACTAAAATGCAGGAGTTTTGTTTTCTATTGTAATGTTATAATCCAGCATATCAAGTATTGCAGGGGCATCAAGAAGTAATGTCAGCAAGTAAATCCAGAATTTAATCCTGGTACCCCAAACCTTCCCATGCTGTTTTAAATTATCTCTTCTTCATTATGGTGAACAATTGTAGGATCTGTACATAAATGCAACAATATGAAAAATCTAGCTCGTAGCATACGGACAACATGAAAAGGAGTCCCCTTTAACCCTATTCTTAAAATTTGGGTTTTTTTTTTGCCTGATGTTTCCAATTAAATTAATTATAAGCTTTCTACAGAAAAGAGACATAAGGTAAAGTTTAAATTGGGGGCCAGCATTTAAATAAGTAAAAAATAGCTGCAATGGCAACTTCATGTTACTTCATTTTCCTAACAAATAAAAATCATTCAAAGTTTAGAAGGTTATATTACTTTTTAATCAATTCTTTACATTAAATCTGCAATGTACCTTTTATGCATTACAATTTTTAGAAATGCTCCAAAATGCTGCACCCATTTGCCTAATCCATCACTACATGGTGTTATTCCTGTTTTGAAACAAGCCACCCTGTGTATTTGTAAAGTGAAAACCAGACATTTTCCACAGTATTGTTGATGAATTTTTAGATGTTACTTTTCAACAATAAGTCCTGTAATTTTCCTTTTTCCATTCATAATTTTGCTTTCTAAATATATTTCCTTGCTTTCTCTCACTGTATAGCAGAGATGAAAAGGCTCTTGAGTCCCAACTGTGAAAAGCGTAAAGCATGCATTGTACTAGAATGAATGGAAGTTGATCTCAGTTGATGCCAGGGCTATATTATGTGTACAACTAAAACGTAATCTTCACTACTGACTAATTGAGTAGCATGGATAATGTGTTTTTTGTTCTGTCTATGTTTAGACTAATATGGTGTCCATAGAAGGCCTTACCAAAGTTGTTGACCCATCCCAGCTCACTCCTGAGTTTGATGGCTGTCTCGAGTACAACCATGAGGAGTGGATTGAGATCCATGTGGCCTTTGAAGACTTCATAAGCAATGCATCACACATGTTGTCCAGATTGGAAGAACTGCAGGAGATGCTAGCTAAAAAAGACTTCCCTCAGGACTTGGATGGAGCTAGAAAAATGATTGATGAGCATACACTACTGAAGAAGAAAGTCATCAAAGCTCCAATTGAAGAGCTGGACCTAGAAGGGCAAAAATTGCTGCAGCGAATTCAAAGTAGTGAAAGTTTTCCCCATAAGAACTCTGTATCAGGGAATGCAGACTTTCAGGGCCTTGTACCAAAAGTGTCCAGTATGCTGGACAGACTGCACTCAACCAGGCAGCATCTGCATCAGATGTGGCATATACGCAAGGTGAAACTGGATCAGTGCTTCCAGCTTAGGCTCTTTGAACAAGATGCAGAAAAGGTGAGGTCAATAAACAATTCAGCATGCATAACAACTGCCATTGGTCTTGGAATAATTATGGTATTTCTCAACAACATTAATGAATTTAATTTGAAATTTAATATGTAAAAATCATTAGTAAGTACTTGAAGAAACAAAGCTGTACAAATTGAATGTCATTTTAATTAATTAGTCAGAATAATTATGAGAATACTGTGCTATGGAGATGTACATCTCTTTCTCCCTTATATTGACTGACATTTCAGTGCAGTACTGATGGGGTGCTCCATTGTCAGAATGGTATCTTTTGAATGAGTTATTAAAGTGGGGTCCTGTTTCCCTGTGTAGGTGCTGTCCTTCAAATAAGAGCAGGTGAGTACTTATGGCCAAAAATAGATTTAGAGCATTATTAAATAGATTAACAGGTTTCTTGTGTACTTTGCTTTAAGAGGATATTTTATATAATTCACTGCCATGTGCTTTGGGATTTCTTGAGGGTATGGTAAGCACTTTATTTCCTTTTTAATATATATTGTGTATACATGAAAATTAAAATATAATTTCCAACAATCTCTCCAAGATAATGAATGGATTTAAGCAGCCAGGGCCTGAGTGCTGCCAATAGGGTGTCAACTACAACCATTTAACAAATGGTAAATTCTTAACAATGTAAGAGCTATTTCAAATCGTGGTTGCAGAAGAAGGGAGAAAGCAAATCTTTGACTAGTCACAGTAAAGGAACAGGAATAAAGCATTAGCCTTTCAAATCTGTTGTGCTATTCATTTAAATCCTGGCGAGTTTGTATCTTAACTCCATGTAGCTACCTTAATTCCATAAGGCTGGTAAAAACAAATTTATTTATCTTGAAATTTTCAAGTGATATTGTTTCAACAGCTTTTTCATAGAAAATGTTCCAGATTTCCTGATACCTTTTTACAGAGAAGTACTTCCAGATGATGTTAACAAACCCTATAATTTTTAAGGTTTATGTGGATTTTCCCACTGAAGGAAATAGTTTTATTTGATCTAATCTTAATAATTTTTTTAACCATCTTAAAACCCTCTTTATGTATAGAATCCTTTATCTTCTGAACTAAAGGCCTAATTTAACATTCTGAATCTCTGCTGTACTTCCTTGTAAGATTTATGTATCTTTGCTGAAGTGTGATACTCTGAACTAAATGTAGTGCTTAAATGGACTTTCACCAGAACTTTAAATAACAGTAATAAACCTTTCACCCCTGTGTATTCCAGCTCCCTGCCCTTTGTATTCTGACCATTTTGAGATAAAGGTGAACGTTCAATCGTCTTTTAATTACATTTTTCACTTGTTCATTAGCTTTTATTGATTGCTGCACTTAGATCCCTAAATCATCATCACAATTCCGAGCTCCTCATTTTTAGAAAATACTCTGTCATGGGTCCGAAATGAATGAGGTCATGCTTTGTTTAGTTGACCTCCACCTGCATAGATTTTTCCATCCACTCATGTAAAAAGCTGCTTTGCAATAGTCTTCTCCTATTTGCACTGTTTACTGTGCCACCTAATTTGGTGTTAAACTTGGATGCAGGATTTCTAATCCTTGATCTGCATCACTTTCAAATATAGTTGAAAGGTGAGGTCATTCCTTAGTTCCCTGTGGGACACCGAAAGTTGCATGCTACCAATTTAAGTATGTATCTATTATCTGTACTCTGTCTCTGACCCCCTAACCAATTTAAATTTTAATTGAAAATTGTAAAACAAACGGAATGTTTAAAAATACTTTTTAAACTCATCAGTTAAGGAAAGGAATGTGCTACTACTTGAACAGCTCAAGTACCTGGAGAGTACTGATTTTCATGGTGACAGTTAAGTTTGACCTTCCCATTCTAACATAGTACCATTTATTGGCAACACAAGGGAACCTTTAGGCATCTTATCATGGTATAGGAAACGTTTCAGTTGAATGTCACCATGAAATATGCAGTGCATGTCATGGTTTTAATAAATTACCAGTTGATGTCCATTCGAGCTGAGCAAGATTAAGTAGGGCTTGAAGGAAGCCTAGAAGCCAGGAGATATCTAAATCAGAGCTTGCAGTCGCAGTTAAGTCACTGTTTTCAAGTTATTTTAAACTTTTTAAACTTGCCTTACAGATCACTGTGTCCACCGTTTTTGTAGAAGCTATTGATGTAGAATTGCCTTATTTTAAAATCTGGGCTTGGGATTTATTAGATAACTTTACTTAAGAGCTAATACATTGATAAATGACCACTTTCTGTGCCTTACCATTCTGTGGTCCTCATTGCAATCTCCTGTCTACCACAATGTTGTAGTGCCTCCACTGCATTGCCTCTCTCTGTTGCTCAATGCACTAATTAATCCAGGATGTAAAGAGCCTTTAGCATGCTGTTAACCAATGATACTACCCACTATCCTGCAGCAACATTTGGTTCTTGGTGTTGGTTATTTAAGGTATGTATTGCAGCAGTATGGTTGCAAGAAAACAAACATGCATTAAATGATGGAAACCTGAAATGAAAAACATAATTATAGCCAGTAGCTCAGCAGGTAACAGTGGTGATTGGATTGTGCAGGTTTAATGTAGGCTTGTAAAGGTTACCTTAAAGCTTTAAGTGACTGAATGGTAGGATCATGGCATCTGTGTCTTGTAGTATGGTGTGTGTGGTTTTGATAGCAAAGAAGCTTAGGAGACTGAGCAGTTAAATTTGAACAGATTTCCAAGTGTTGAAAAGACCTCAGTAACGCAAGATGAGCAATACGCTCTGATGCTGAAATGTGTCCATTGTTGTGGCCAGGGACATTAGCAGTCCTGAAAGAAGCAGATTAGGTGGATGATAAGAGCATTGGCAGAATCCTGCCTAACTCTAGATAATTGTATTTTTTTTCTTTGATATATTCTGTTCTCCAGCAGTATTATGCCAATTTTGATTGCAAAGCAGTTCCTCCCACAATTGTTTGAGAGTATACTGTAGTATATACGCATATCTATGAATTGTATAAATATTTAGGAATTTTCTCTAGACCTTGTTTGGCAGTGTCAGGCTTTTTTCAGTGCTAGCGCACACTCAGCCTGCGATAGAAAGTTCTTAGGCAATAAACTGAGGTGCTGTTTGTCTTCATAGCTGACATCATAGGTTTTTTGCAAATGTTTAAACATTTGCAGCGTATTTCTTTCAGTGTCCTGGCCGACATTTATTAGCCAGCAACACCCAGAAATGGATTACCAATCATTTACCTAATTTCTGTTGTGGGATTTTACATAATAAAAATTGACCACTGGGTTTTCCTACATTATATTTGATGGTGAAGTACTTGAAGGCATTCCCAAGGTATGAAAGTCATTGTGTATTGGAAGTTATAGCTTTGATCTTTACTTGACCACACATTACATGACCACATATGCCCAAATCAAGTTTGTTTAATTGTGTAGATGCTAGTGTTGCGAATCTCAGATGGCTAATTATTTGACCTATAGATGTTGAGCTCTGTGTAGGAGCTTAGTAGCGTAAAGCAATTTTGGTGCAAAGAGACATCGCAGACTCTCTTTTGGCCTTGGTTGTCAAATAACAGCCTATAGCATGGGACTCTTCTGATTGTTGGATCAGGCATGTCAACACCACCTGCAAACATTGGATATTATGCTCTATTTTGAGTAGTCAAAGCAAGTGTAAATAGTGGTTGGTAATAAGCTGTCAGCATTTGTTTGAAACTCCTTGAAACATTGTACCATAACTTATTTTTAAACAGTAATATGATTAATAACATTTGCTAAAAGATAGGATTGATCTTGAAACTTTAATTAGATTTTTAAAGCTAAGGTTTAAAGATATTTTCAAAAGCAAATTGGAATTTTTAGCTTCTACCTTCACACCATATGTATGCCCCAATCTCTAATTTACTCTGTATACGTTGTTTTAAGTGATCTTATTTAAGTTTCTTTTCTTGGATGGTGGGGAGGGTGAATGGTTTCAAACAAATCCTTTACTTTGGTTGGTTCTTGGAGAACCTGGTGACATCACTTCAGCCCTATACTGTGACTCCTCAGTCATAAGCTCTGTGATCATTTGCAGTACAACTGCATGACGCTGGAAGTGAAATACCTGCTAGAGATGCCACTACATCACTCAATGAGATTGAATTCCTGGTCAGCAACAAGTTGAAAGACAGCAAATTTGACAATCTAGAACGTCCTTATCATGTTATTGAATTATCATCTTTGTGTGCTTCAGTACTGGAATGGAACTTGAATTCACCATCTTCTGAAACGAGGATACTACCAACTGAGCTAATCCTTTACGTTTACGTGCATGCACGTGTGTGTAGGTTCAGCTGTTTCCCCAGATCATGCAATACTGCAGTGTGTGAAGCATGCGTGTATTTGAAATATTTACTGCTTCAAAGTAATTCACATAATCTTCACATTATTGATTCCTTTCCTGTACTTTTGGACAATAGGTTGAAGAAGTCAAATCCCTTTAGATTTTCATGATTCCACAGTTGCTATGTATGCATTGTACTGTTGCCAAACTTCCATCATAAAAAGTGTTCATTAAGTGCCTGATAAAATTACCTGTTTTTATTCAAGCAATTTGTTTACAAAAAAAAGATAAGGAAGTGTATGCTCTTAAATTTGACTGGTCCATTTTGCGTGCTGTGCTTTCTATGTTTACAGTCATTCGTGTCCAGTAACTTACAGGTAACCGGTTGTATCTCATGATGTATTATTTCATTAAACTAATTGAGTTTCCATGTGTTTAATAAATATCCTGCTTCTATTCAGATGTTTGACTGGATCTCTCACAACAAAGGACTGTTTTTGAATAGCTATACAGAAATTGGAGCTACTCATCAGCATGCAATGGAACTTCAAACACAGCACAATCACTTTGCAATGAACTGCATGGTAAGGGCCAATAGCTGAGAAACAGTCAAATGTTAATGCAGTAGGTATTGCATTCCTTTTATTGACTTAGTAAAGAACTGTGATTAGTTTCATTAATGAATAAGCCAGATTTTTTTTAATCATTACTGTGAATCTTTTTAAGCATACTTTGACCAGCTTTTGTACTTTCAGTGCAAAATTAACAACATTCTTGCCCTATATTTTAATAGATGTTGTAGACATTGGTGGAATTTAACAATTGTGTTATGGCAGATTACTAACTTTGCCTGTTAATGAGCTCTACCTAGGCATTGACAGAGGACCCATCTTGTATGCAACAGTTGTTGTACAAACCATCTCAATCTATCTGTTAGGGAAAGAAATCTGCTGTCCTTACCTAGTTTTGCTTCCTTGTGACTCCAGACCCACAGTAATGTGGTTGACTCCTAACTGCCCTCTGAAATTGCCTAGCATATTACAAGCGCTAAAAGTTAGGACTGAAACTGGACTGACCACTTGGCTTCATTCTAGATACTGGAAATGACAATGGCAAATCCAGCCCTGTTGACTGTGCAAAGTTTTCCTCACTGACGTTTGGGGATTTGTGCCAGAATTGAATGAGCGCTGTCTCTGAGACTGATGAAGCAACAGCCTGTCTTGAAATTCCAACTTTCAGACAACTACTATCATCTCTAAGTCTGGTCTGTCACACGAGCAGGGCTGACTCACCAGTGATGGCGGCACAGTGCTATATGGTCAGGATAGAGTTACCCTTGCCATTCTGAACATAGACTTCTTGGAATCCTGAGTCATATTCGTCAGATCAAACATGGGCAAGAAAACTTGCTGATTACTTGGAAGGTCAGCACTGGTTCAGCGAAGAATGCAAGACAGCATGTCAGGAGCAACAACAAGCATACCTAACAATGAGGTACCAGCTCGATGAAGCAAAACATTGGGATACTTGCATGCCAAACAGCATCAAGTAAAGCGATCCCAAAGCCAATGAATCACACCTAACCTCTGCAGTCCTGTCACATCTGGTCATGAATGCTGGGGACAATTAAGTAACTCACTAGATGAGGAGAGGCTGTATAAAAATCCCTATCCTCAATGATGTGGAAGGCCAGTAAATTAGTGCTAAAACACAAGGCTGTGTCACACTTGTAACAATTTTCAGCCAGAAGTGCTGAATGCATGATTCATTGCAGCATCCTTCTGAGGTCTCCAGCATTGCAGTTGCCAGTCTATAATCATTTCTATTTATTTCATATGATATTCAGATGGATGCTACAAAAGGCTATGGACCCTGACAACATTTTGACAATAATGTTAAAGATTTGTGCTCCAGAACTAGCTGCACTCCTTGACTAGCTTTTCTGGTACAGCTACAACGTTTGCATCTACCTGGCAATGTGGAAAATTGGCCAGGTTTGTCCTGTGCAGGACAAATCCAAACTGACCAATTACTGCCCTATGAGTCTACTGTCAATCCTTAGCAAAGTGTTAAGCAACATTTGCACAACGTTAACCTGTTCATTGATGCTCAGTTTGCATTCTGCCTGGGCCACTTGGCTCATGATTTAATTAGAGCCTTAGTTCAAAAATTAACAAGACAGGTGAACTTCATGGTGAGATGAGAGTGACTGTTCTTGATATTAAAGGACATTTGACAGCGTGGCATCAAGGGACCCTAGAGGAATTGGAATCATTGGGAATCAAAGAGAAAAGTCTCTGCTGATTCTTGTCATATCTGCCGCATAGAAGATGGTTGTGGTCATTGGAAGTTGATCATCTCAGTCCCAGGACATCACTGCTAGAATTCTCCAGGGTAGTATCCGGAGCCCAACCATTTCCAGCTACTTCATCAGTGGGGGTGGCATGGTGGCACAGTGGTTAGCACTGCTGCCTTACAGGGACCTGGGTTCAATTCTACCCTTGGGCGACTGTCTGTGTGGAGTTTGCACATTCTCCCCGTGTCTGCATGGGTTTCCTCCCACAGTCGAGAGATGTGCAGGCTAGGTGGATTGGCCATGCTAAATTGCCCATAGTGTTCAGGGATGTGGAGATTGGGTGGGTTATAGGGGGATGGGTCAGTGTGGACTTGTTGGGCTGAAGGGCCTGTTTCCACACTGTAGGGATTCTGAGAGTCTATGACTGGCCGTCTGTTGTAAGGTCAGAAGTGGGTATGTTTGCTAATCATTACATGATGTTCAACACATTTTGAGATTTTTAAGACTCTGCAGCAGCTTGTGTTCACATGCAGCAAAACTTGGACAGCATCCAGGCAGAAGCTGATAAATGGCAAGTAGTATTTGCACCACACAAGTATCAGGCAATGCCCATTTCCAACATTGAAGTTCGGTGGTATTACCATTGCTGAACTATCAGCATCCCGGTGGTTACCATTGACCAGAAACTAAACTGAACTAGCTGTTTAACTACTCTGGCCACAATATCAGGTCAGAGGAAATCTGCAGAAGTAACTTTTTTCTCTTGACATCCTAATGTCTGTCTACCATCTACAAGGCACAAGCTAAGAGTGTGATGGAATGCCCTCCGTTTGACTGGATGGGTGCAGTTCCAACAATATTGAAGAATCTCAGCACCATACAGGAAAAGGCAGCCCACTTGATTGGCACTTGAGTGCCACCACCTTCCACATTCACCACCTTCTCTACTGATGCACACTAACACCCTGCTTACCATCTACAAGAGCCACGAGAGTAAGCCACCAAGGCTCTTTCAATATCATTTGCCAAAACCCCAACCCCCACCAGGTAGCAAGACAAGGGTGCTGGCAACGCCAAGACCTCCAAGACCCCTTCTAAGCTACAAGCTGTTTTGACTTGGACTTATATTGCTGTTCCTTCACTGTTGCTAGAATTCCCTCCCCAACAGAGGTGTGGGTTTTCCTACACTTCAAGGGCTGTATTTTTTCAAGAAGGCAGGTCACTGCCACGTACTCATGGGCAATTAGGGATGGGCAATAAATAATGCATGCCCAGTGGCACCCACATACCATGAATGAAAAAGAAAATGTATTAAAGAAATAGGTGGCTATTGTAATATTAAGTGCTGCGTTTAGCTCTGGATGTCTTAGATTTTGGTGTTAATATTTCTCTGGATATCTAACTATTGCTTGTAGAATTCTAGGCTGCAGTTGGAGTTCTGTCTGGTCCTCAAACATGTGTACAAAATAGAGGTATGTGTAACTGTAAGATTTTTAAAGTGCTTCACTTCCAGTTGGAGGCCTATTCTCCCGTGTGTTTGCATCTGATGGGTTGTGCACAATGTAGGCAAGTTAACTCAGCTAGTTAGGCAAATGGAGGAGGGAGTCAGGAGTCTAGTGTGCCAACCGGGCAGGGGTAAGAGGGATTGAGAAGCAGGTGGGCCTTCGATATGGGGAAGTGGTGAGTCAGTAGAGTGGGAATGGTTGGGGTGGCAAATGGCCTGCCTGTTTGGAGGGCATGGGGTCCAAGCAAGTCGCTGGGGTAGGGTTGGGGAGATATGAGGTGATTGAGTGAATGATTGACTGCCTTTGGGGCTGGCTGGATAAGTGACTGTCTGACTGATTGGGATGCTGGCCATCCTCGTGAGTTCAGTGACTCACTGGGGTGATTGGATGGTTGAGTGAGTGACTCTTGGTGTGTTCGCTGAGTATGTGACTGGAGGATAAAAGCCCGCAGTACAGATACTGGAGGTTTGAAATAAAAACAGAGAGTGGTGAAGAAATTGAGCTGGTCTAGCAACACTTGTGGAGAGAAAAACAGAGTTATCATTTTGGGTCTAGTATGACTGAGAACTGGCTGGGAGAGTGAGTGACTCAGTGGGAGGCTGGTTGGATGATGGGGACATTGTTGGCTGAGTGAACAACTAGACGAGTGAGTGACTGACTGACTGTCTGGGATTTGGGTGAGTGACTGACTGACAGAGCTAATAGATTGCTGGTTCACTGAGTGAGTTATGGACCGAGAGCTGAGTTGGGTGCAGTGTGTTTGAATGAATGGAATGATATCTGAGTGACTGCAGACTGGTGACTGTCCTGGGGTCTGGGTTTGTGGATGACTGGGGCTGGTGGATTGGTGCTTTCCTCTCCCAATATGTACAACCTATCTGCAAAGCATTCATTATTTGTAGTTTAAGGCAAGGAAAAATAATCATATTGTTGGTTTTAAAAAAAACAATATTTCATTTTCACCTCTAAAAATCTGTCAAGTAATACACTATTCAAAAGATAGAAGTAAAAGAAGATTAGCAATCCTATTATCTCACCCCAGCTGCTATTTTGTATCAGGCTGGTGGTTTAAGGAAGAAGCTATCATTTCAATATGTAAACATAACAGATTTGTCTAAATGAATTTCTATCCTCATATGGAGGGCAGGCCTTTTTGCTACTGGGCATGCAATCATCAATGATTATCCTGCAGAATGACTCAACTGGGCCTGTCTTCAGCCATAGATGTGAGTTGATTTACTGAATATTTCTCAAGATTTTTCCTCTACTAATGCTTGTCATAGAATCCCTACAGTGTGGAAACAGGCTATTGAGCCCACATTGACCCACCGAACAGCATTCCACCTAATCCCTGTTACCCCACATTTGCCATTGGCTAATCCACCTAGTCTGCACAACCCTAGACACTCTGGACCATTTAGCATGGCAAGTCCACTTAATCTGCACATCTCTGGAATGTGGGAGGACACCAGAGCACCTGGAGGAAATGCACGCAGACATGGTGAAAAATGTGTGAACTCCACACAGACAGTCATTCGTGTGGAATTGAACCTGGTCCCTGGTACTATGAAGTAGCAGTGCTAACCACTGTGCAAGTTATGTTCTTGTGCGCCTGCAATCTAACCTATTTCCAAATGGTAATGTGGCAGAGCGAGTGGATAACATTTAACTGAAGAGAGAGGAAGCCAGCTGCATGATTCCTTAATTATTTGAATTTGACAGCCAAATATGAACTATAGTTTTAAGAGTGCTCTCATGAGAAAAATTTGCTAAGTTTATACAT